CCCCCAAAACCCCAAAACCCCAAAACCCCAAAACCCCTAGCAAAGTGTATTATATTGCATAATAAAATAAATAGTTTAAATAGATTAAGTCTGAAAATTCAAGACCCAATTGGTGATAATTAAACAATATGATGAGTGGATTAAGAAGGGGTCAGAAGAAAGAGAGCATCAGTCAAAGCTTCTTTCAGCAATCTATTTTAAAGAAAACAAAGAATGGCAGAATTATGATACCTTTGTCGATGAATTTTAACATCTAATATTCGCAATAACAATTACTGTTGTAAAAAATTCTGAGGATCAATATGGGTGTTACTTCCTAGCCATAATCAAGCCAAGACCGAAGGCCAATCTACAATAGTTTGAGCAACATCGAATTCATAATAATGGTATATTTTTCTAAAGAGCGAGATCTAAAACCTTCTCTCTTTGTAAGAGAGAATTCCAATGCTGAGCAAATGAATTTCATTTTTCTGTAAGCTCTTTCAAGCTTAAAAACCTCGAATATTAGTCAAAAAATAACATCTGCATTATTTAAGGCAGATCTTTATCAAATTTATTTGAAATATTCCTTTCAGCAACAACTTCTGAATTTTAAGTTATTAAATCTAGCTGGAAGTTCTCTTCGTCAACAAACGAGCCTAATTGGAAATAGTCAAATTTAGCCAAAACTTGGTTTACAATATTGGTAAAGTTGAGTGAAGAAATTCTCCAATAATGCTTCTAAAATAATTTTAAGCATAACTACTGATAGACAGAGTAAGCAGTGATAATTAATGTGTTTGTAAGCGTTACAGGTAGAATGAGCCGAACAAGTACCATGACTTAAATCGAACAGGGAAAATTATGAGAACGATCGCTTCTATGAATCAACAAAACTAGGAGGTTGTAATTGATATAATTCGATGAAAATAGCTCTGAAATTAATCCAGAATCTTGATTCAAAAATTATCTGAAGAGTTATCCTGAAAAGATCTTCAAGGTGTGTAAGTAGCATTAGAGTTGATTTAACATAATTTCTAACTAATGAAATATCTTCTAAAACAATAGTACAATATTGGTAGTTAAGAATAGGTAAGTACAATATTAGACTTGCACACTTTTTTAGTAGTTAGAAGTTAAAACCTGAAAAATTTGCCTAACTTCTAGTTTAATAGGGAATTTGCCTCGTCAGGAATTTAAAGGAAACCATCAATGGGCAACAAAAGAGGTGATCTAAACCTATCTTATCTTCAAAAAATCAGCCCTGAGGCACAATTATCCTTCTGGAATAATTTTGATTTCCTCTAGTCTTCAGTTGGCATATTATTATTTTATTGAAATCAATACATCACTATGCACCCGGGGTTTTGGGGTTTTGGGGTTTTGGGGTTTTGGGGTTTTGGGGTTTTGGGGTTTTGGGGTTTTGGGG